GACAGGACTCCAGGAAAACAAAGGTAAATTGTATCGTATTTCCAATTTTAAACGCACCATCTTTCAATTACTCGTAAGACCTACAATATGTTTAAACTTACTTGTGTTGTCTCTTATTCTGTATGAATGTCTCCATTTCTTTAAGATTTTTGCAGTATTTGAACATATTTATAAACAAAACTTACAAAACTATTAAAGTTCATCTTGTTCGCTTATTGTTGCTATGTTACAGCACTCATGGAGGTACCGGAGGTGTGTCTTTTGCAAACAAAAACGTTTCCGGTTTACAAAAACATTTAAGATTTCAAAATGAATATAATAAAGTGAAAATTGAACTTCTTGTCGTGCAATCTTGGACTGAAATCAAACTTGTGATTACAAATCGCACTCCCGCTTCGCGGTCGTGCGATTTTGTAGTCACGCGTTTGATTTCAGTCCAAATTGCACTCCACTCAGTTCAATTACCATTATTTATAGTCAACCAAGATTTTAGATGTTTCGATCCAGCCTAAAACGGGGGAAAATCTCTGCATTAATTATTAATTGTATTGTTTCGTAGTTGCAGGTACATCGTCAGTGATCGTATTGCGTACCACATCAAATACAGTGATTTCTAAACCAGCAAATGGTACGTTTCATCAATTTGCATGATGCATTTTGATTCAAAATTTATAATTATACTGACAACTTTATAACAACATTAAATATGACAACAATTATAATAAAACAACAATTACAATAATTATAACAACTTTTTAAAATAAATATCATGCAGTTATTCACAATTCAAGTGTAGTGTTTTTATCAGGGGTGATCTATAGTAACTAAATTAATATTTTATTCTCTAATCGTCAGAATGGCCACAATAATTATTAGAAACATTAACCTACCATGCACCCCAGGGAAACATAAAGATTAAATTGCATTCGTAGATTGAGGAATTTATTCCAACGAATTAGTGATCAATCTCAATGGACCATTTGCATCATAGACTAAATTTTGATCTAGACAAATATTTCATCACAGCTTGAAAGAGCATCACAAAATTAGTAATATTCCAAAGTTTCGTTGCGAAATGTTGTAAAATGCGGATAATATAGCCTTGCGAAATTTGCAATTTTCAGTCATTTTGTA